GTTGAGGCGGATATCTTGGAAGCCAAACATTCTGCGAAGCCGTTGGACGGGGCGACGTTGGCAGCACTTGCGAAGACGTTTGCGGACGCGATCCCAGACGAGGAGTTCAGCGTTGCCGCGCTTCAAGGCTGTAAGTGTTCCGATTTCTTCGTAGACCGCTTACTAGTTTTGCTGCCAACACCGCCGTGCGAGTCGCGATGGGTGTTGGCTGACCCGTAGAAAATTTCTCCTTGCGGGGACGGTGCGTGCGATGGACTAGATGGAGAATGTGCTGACGGTTTTGTTTGTGGACTGCAGACCTGCTGAAGAACAAGTCGCGGCCGGAGACGGCAGCTCACGAGGCGGCGGCGTGGGTGGAGAGCGAGCGAGCACTGAGGGAGAAGTTGAAGAAGGAGCGCGAGGCGCGCGAGCTCAAGGAGAAACAGGAGGTCAGTTATCCGATCCAGATCGATTATCACCCACTTGCCCTTTTCGGCCGGTCCCAATCCCGGCCCGCCCGGGGTCTCGTCTGATCTCTTGTTCCTTGTTCCCCATCTGTATCCACCACGCTCACTTTGTTCTTGTCCACAGCGTGAGCAACGCAAGCTGGAGCTACTTCAGAAGGAGAAGGAGGCCGCAGAGCTCAAGAAACTCGAAGAGGCCGAGGCTGCCCGCAAGGCTGCCGAGCAAGCCGCCGCACTCCTCTCCCAGAACGCGACCGTCGCTGTTCCGGCAGTCGTGGAGCAGCCCGTGCAGGTAGTTGAGGCCGGAGCAGACAAGGAGAACTCGACTGCTGACGCACCTGCCGAAGACGACGCCTCGACGGATTCGGAGGACGATGGGGGCGATGAGCAGTCCGCGTCCGTGTCTGGGACCACTTGGGTCAGTGTGGTGGAAGATGCCTCGACCTGACTACCTCGTGCGCCCGACGCCGACTCCGTGGTGAACGGACGGGCCGGGGACGGCACAGGAACTGCTGTGTGCGACGGTCGAGATGAAGAGGACGGGGCTGAGTGGGTTGAGATCGGCGCTGTGGACATGGCGCACATGGACGATGTGTCCGTGGCGGGCGGAGGAGTCGGGAGCGACATTGACATCGCAGCTGGACAAGTTGCGAACGGAGCTGGGGCGGAGAGTGAGAAGATGGCAGGTGTAATAGCCCGGCGGCACGCCCGTGGGTTTGCTGTGCTGAAGACGTTCCCGATGATGATCGAGTTTTATCTGCTTCAAGTCTATGTTCTCTTGCAGCTCGCACTGTTTGGACCTTGACGCGGGGCGGGAGAAGGCAGAGGGCGTGGCGGGCGTTGTGGCGGTCGTACCTCTATCATGGCTGGTAATCACGTAGACAACATCCCCTCTCATATTGTTGCATACATAGATTGTGGCTTTCTGTGTTTCGGCATTGCTGTAGTATAAGTATGGATATACACATAACATTGTTTGCCCTGTCTTGTCTTTGCTGATGCGTCGGCGGTGGTACTAGTAGCCTCGTGGTTGGGCGGGCCACGGTCGGGGCGTGGGACGAGAATGATGGGCGGGCGGGACCCCGAAGAGCGGGATGGCAGCCGGTCGCCAATCACGGATCGGCGCTTGAGCTTACCTAGAGACGGAAGAGGCACTGGACTTGCCTGACGCCCAGTCCTCATCCTCATCCTCTTCCTCTTCCCTCTTCTTCCACCACGCCAACTGGCTCCTTAGCCGCCCCAGCTCCCTCCCGCTCCTTTCTCCTCTTCGCCCCAACATCTATTCACTATGGGTTGCGTCCAGTCCTCCGGCATTGACGATGAGGCCAAGGCCCGTAAGTATCCGCCCTCCAACACGACTATTCCTCCCCCTATCGCGCCCACGTTTTCTAGCCGCCCGCTCACTTTTTCCAACCAGGCAATGACGAGATTGAGAACCAGCTCAAGCGGGACCGTATGATGGCCAAGAATGAAATCAAGATGCTGCTTTTGGGAGCTGGAGAGTCGGGCAAGGTCTGTCCTGCTGTCTCTTCACCCACTTTCAATATCTGTTACTCACCCAAACCTCCCCGCGATCTGCCCAAACAACAGTCTACTGTCCTCAAGCAGATGAAGCTCATCCACCACGGTGGCTACAACGAGCAAGAGCGGGACTCGTACAAGGAGATCATCTATTCCAACACCATTCAGTCTATGCGGTACGTCCCCCGTTTCACATTGCCTTGCCTCGTCGCTTCGCCCTAGACTTTTAAACGCTTATCCCTACAATCTGTAGTGCTATCCTGGACGCGATGCCGCACCTGGACATTCACCTTAACCCTCAAAACGACGCCCGGCGCTCCATCATTCTCTCTCTGCCTGGTCAGATTGAGGGCGATGTCATGCCGCGCGACGTTTCAGACGCGATTCGTGGTCTTTGGAAGGATCCTGGCGTGAAGGAGGCTGTTGCTCGCTCTCGCGAATTCCAGCTCAACGACTCGGCCGTTTACTACTTCAACTCTATCGACCGCATGGCTGCTCCTAATTACATGCCTACCGACCAGGACATCCTTCGGTCGCGTGTCAAGACCACTGGTATCACAGAGACCACCTTCAAAGTCGGCGAGCTCACCTACAAGCTCTTCGATGTCGGTGGTCAGCGGTCTGAGCGTAAGAAGTGGATTCATTGCTTCGAGAACGTCACCGCGCTTGTGTTCCTGGTCTCCCTCAGTGAATACGATCAGATGCTGTACGAAGATGAGAATGTGGTACGTTCCCCCTCCCAGTCAGTCGTTGTTCCCCCGTCTTCACGCTTCTATCATCAATAGAACCGTATGCAGGAGGCTTTGACCCTCTTCGACTCGATATGCAATTCAAGATGGTTCGTCAAGACATCAATCGTGAGTGTCGCATTATCCACGTCACCGAGAAGCCCATCTCTGTTGTTGGACATTCTCCGCAAGATCGCTGACAAACGCATCATCTCCTCTCTTTTACAGATTCTGTTCCTTAACAAGATTGATCTGTTCGCAGAGAAGCTGCCAAGGTCACCGCTAGGCGACTACTTCCCCGACTACAGCGGTGGTGATGACTACGACGCAGCATGCAACTACCTCCTCCACCGATTCGTCTCCCTCAACCAGAGCGCGGCGACAAAGCAGATCTACGCTCACTACACTTGTGCCACAGATACCCAGCAAATCAAGTGTACGTGTTTCCATCTGTTCTGTATAGGACTGAGCGCTGATCGCTCTGTTGATTGATGCCCCTTCGGCTGCGCCATGCCCACATCCTGTTCTTCCGGACATTGCACGGACCATGCCATCGACATATGATTCGTGATCGCGCTGCGCTGCGACGTTGACCCGTTGCCCTCTTTCGGCGCCCCGACAGTCGTCTTGAGCGCTATCCAGGATATTCTCTTGCAGTTGCACTTGCGGGAATGCGGTCTTCTGTAGTTCGGTGGATGTTCTGTCAGAGGATTGGCGTGGTTGCGTCTGTCTTCCTTGGCATCCAGCTTATCTTGTCATCCATCCCCTTGTCAGCTATCTTCTCTCGCATCCGGATTCCCTTGTCATGTGTTCCATCAACCCGTCCCGGCATCCCCTGCTTCCATCGCCCGTCCGCCATTGGGCGCATCGCGTTTCGCCGGGCACTGCACCACTACCGCATACTGTACATAGTTGGAAAAGATTTCCCGCTCAACACGCCAAATTTCATGGCACACCACGTCGCTCCTTTCCCCATGCCCCATGCCGCTGTGATCTCGAGCACATACCTCAAGCTTTGCAGTCCTCCAGATCCCCGACGTTCTATTCTTTCACCTGCACTACTTACTTCCGAGTTCTCTTTTTCTTCGTGGTTGTGCTCATGTCTGGATGTGCCGCGGATCGTTTGTTCCTGTAATGACCTACGTAGCTTTTTTACCCCTTAGTTCTGTTTATCCCTTCTTAAGCCGTCGTGTCCTGTCTCTTTAGCTAGGCTGCTCCTTCCTCTCTCTGTCTCCTTCCTCTCTACTAGTCTATCACTACGGGTATGTTCTTGTCTTCAATGCCCAGGGAGTCACAGAAGAGAGCGCTGAACGTTGAACAACCGCCAATGTTGCCGGGACATTCGATCACCGATCTCTGCGTACTTATGGGTGATGTCCCGCGCGCGCGAGCGCACTAGGTTACCGGTAGGTACTCACCATTGACAGCGCATAACGTTCGCGGCCGCATTCCTCTCAGGCGTCGGGCAATGTCCCTGGCGCCATCGCGGTCCTTCTAGCGACGTCGCGGCAATGTATGAGATTTTCCCTACTCTTCCATGCATGCAGAACACAGATACATCCGTTCTGTCGCCTATTACACTTATATGTGCCGACGGCAGCTCGCCAACTTGAGGCCAACATGCTTCATCAGAAGTTCAGAACTCGATGCATATGCGTGTCAACGGTCCATGTCCGTTCAACTTCCTCCGCTTGTCCATATAATGCTTCCCGACTTGTCTGACGGAGTTATATCCTCATGATTACCGACTTCGCAGAGCCCAGAAGCTCAGCGGGCAGCGCGGAGAGTGTTCCTGTCCGCGCCTTCCACTTCCTGGGCGCAGTATATTACGGACCATCCAGTAATTCCAGGTGGCTATCTGAATGCCGTGTATTCAGGATGCGAGTTCACCTTTGTCACCCCTGGAAGCTGAACAGCCTCAGTCCGGACGGGCCATCGGGTTCAATGTCGATGTCTCTCTTCTGTCCATCAAGGTCTGTCAGCGCGCCATTGTCAACGTTAAATGTCTGTCGCATGAGCATCAAAGTTCAGCCTATGCATCTCCGCTCGACACAACTGACGCGGACGTGATGGCCATGACGCGATCGACGTTAACGTTCTCCGCATAACATTGACTTGAATATGCATGTGCCGCCATCTCCCGGGGTCCTCCTGTCACTCACGTTCACTCACAAGTATTGCCTGCAAACGTGCTTGCGTCGGGTTTGTGTTCAGCCTTCGTCTTCTTGCCGTATGTGTCAGATGGATGCTGACTGATATCACTGAGATGTTTTCAAACAAAATAAAATGTGCACAGCCACAAAGACATCGACACCAGCAGGATTTGAACCTGCGCTCCCGGAGGGAAACAGATAATCAAAGCAATTCGAATCTGTCGCCTTAACCACTCGGCCATAGTGTCCTATTCGTAATTCGTTTAGTGTGCTGAGTCGGAGACGTAAAATATTCACGCTCTCGAATGGCACGTCTGTGCCAGTGCTACTAGTAGTATACATTGCGCAAAATAAGAATTCTACTCTTCCAGCTTGAACGTCTTGACCGCTTCAATAAACGCCTGAACCCTCGCCCGATCCTTCGCAGACCCATCCTTGAGCTCCACGCCCCCGCTGACGTCCACCGCCCACGGACGGACGGTCCGCAACACCTCCTGCACGCTGTCCGGAGTCAAGCCCCCAGCGAGGATGATGGGCAGCGTCTCACCCGCGCCGACCTCTCCCTTATCCACCACCGCCTTCGCGATCTCCAAGTCGACAGACGTGCCGGTCCCACCGCTGAGCCCCTTCGCGCTCCCCTTCGCGACCGCGTCGAGGAGCACGAACTGGTGCGCGCCGGGGCGCGTGATGCCGGTGAGGCCGTGGCCCTCCTCGTCGACGTGGAACACGCGGATGGTCGGGACAGGGATGTGGCGCGCCCACTCGACCGGCTCGGTCCCGTGCAGCTGCACGATGTCGAGCTCGACCTCCTCGACGGCCTGCAGGATGAGCTCGAGCGGCTGGTCCTGGAACACGCCGACGACGAGCGGACGCTTGGAGGACGGCTCGCGCGCCAGGCTCTCTGTGAGCCGGCGAGCGTGCAGGTTGAACCACGGCTCGTTGTGCAGCTCGCTAGCAGCGGCTACGGGAGCCGGGACGGGAGCAGGTGGATGCTCTCCTTTCGAGAGCCGGCGAGAGTGGACGGCAGCGGAGATCTTCTGCGCCTGCTCGAAGGAGACGTACCGCTTGCTCGTCGGGACGAACATCAGCCCAAGCAAGTCAGCCCCAGCCTCCGCCGCATGAGTGGCCTCCTCGACCGTCCGGATCCCACAGATCTTCACGAGCGGCGGAGACTCGACAGCCTTGCCCTTCTTCGCGTCCTCCTCGGGCTCGGGCCACGCGAGCAGCTGGCGGATGAACGCCTTGGTGTCCGTCGCGCGCATCAACGCCTCGCCGACCAGGACCGCGTTCACGCCCTGCTCGGTGTACGTCCGGACGTCCTCGGCGTCTTTTATGCCGCTCAGTGCGCAGAGCACGACGTCGCGCTCATGCACCATGTCGGCCAAGCGCGACGTGGTCTTCATGTCAACCTCAAAGTCGTGCAGGTTCCTGTTGTTCACGCCGACGACCTTGGCGCCCAGAGCGAGGGCAGCCTCCATCTCGCGTGCGTTGTTCACCTCGACGAGGGGCTCCATCCCGAGCGAGCGCGAGTACTCGTACAGGGCCTGCAAGCGGGGAGCGGGGAGCATCGCCACGATGAGCAGGACGCTGTCCGCGCCATGCAAGCGGGCCTCGGCGATCTGGTACTCGTCAAAGATGAAGTCCTTGCGGAGGATGGCGGGCCGATGGGGCAGCGAGTCGATAGCCTGGCGGGCGAGACGCATGTCGAGGAGTGTGCCCTTGAACCAGGTGGGCTCGGTAAGGACGGAAATGACGGACGCGCCTGCGAGAGCATACGTCAACGCCTGCTGTGCTGCGTTCGCAGAGAGCGCAATGGGGCCCTTGGAGGGACTCGCGCGCTTGATCTCAGCCATGAGCGCAGGCTTCTTCGGGGCCTGCCTCACGCGGGAGACGAAGGAGACGGCCGGGGGGGCGATGTTGAGGTTGAGGGACGTCTCGAGATCCTCCGGGGTCGTTCCGGGAGCCTGCTTCGCACTCTCGACGTCCTTGATTCTCTGCGTGTAGATCTTCTCGAGAATGGTCGGAATCTTGGCGTTGGACGCGCCGGGGGTAGCATTCCCGTTTCCGTTGGGCAAGTTGTCTGCGATGCCGTCGAGCCCCCAGGCGGGGAGAGCGTCGTCGGAGACGCGGAATGCCGGATTGAGGTCCCAGGTGCCGCCTCGGAGGGTGAGGAAGTTCTTGAAGAGGACGTCACCGCCCTCGGAAAGGATGCTCTCCGGATGGTACTGGACGGCTTCGAGGGTGTACTTGCGGTGCCGCACTCCCATGATGACGCCGCTGTCCTGCGTAATCGCGGTGACGGCGAGGTCGGCAGGGAGGGAGCTGGTGCTGGCGCTGAGCGAGTGGTAGCGTGTGGACTTGATGGCCTGGGGAACGTCCTTGAAACAGCCTCGGCCGTCGTGGCGAATCGCACTGACTTTGCCGTGCATGATCTCACCAGCATAACTACCACACATGCAATGTGAGCATCCAGAACGGAAGGAAGGAAGGAAGGAAGGAAGGAAGAGAGAGCAAGAGACGTCAGAGTGAGATGGAATAAGTCAAGAGTTGACGGAGAACCTGCCCGGCGCGATACGAACTCTCTCTGCAGAAACATTCTACAATGTTCGTCCGTTCGAGTAAGTCAAACGTATATCTGCGGGGCCATACGAGGCGGATCTGCAAACCTGCAACGGTCGTAGAGAATGCGTGAAAGCGAGTCGGGTCCGCAACTCCACCTGGAGGCGTACAGGTGGCTAAACCATCTCAAGGAACATGCGCCGTGCAAGCACGAGCACGATAACCTTAAACACCGAGCGCACAAATCAACCTTCCTTGTCCATATCAGACCAGCGCGACAGGAAGTTTCGGAGCCGTCGTCCACTCGCGAGTTGCAGCACGAAGCATCGCGGACCGTCTTTCTTCCCTTCCCATACTTCAACTCGACTCGAAAGAAAAGGAAGGCAAGAATCAGAAACCCAGAGAAGCGGTAGACGAAATCAACGGAGAACCATCCACCACGCGAAAACGGGGACGTCAGCCCCAGCACTCCCGCGAAGCCATCCAAGATTTCCATCCTGGCTGCAGCACGCGAGGCCCCGCCCCGCGGACTCCCAGGCTGGCGCACGGGCTGCTGATCACCTCCAGAACCTACGCCTGCCAGACACGGCGTGTGGCACCCCAGATATCAACGGCACTGACATCGTCTGTCACGGAACTGAACCAAGGGCGCTTTGGTCAGCTCCGTGATCACAGGCATTGCTGTCCCAAAACATATCATGCATCTTTCGGTGGCTTGACATTTTGGGATGCACGCCGTCTCTAATACGCGCGCGCGACGCTCGCTCGGGACCGCATCGCGCGTGGCGACCCTTCCCTGCTTCTCTTCCCGCTACTCCAAAACCAGCACTCCTCAACCCCGATCTAAAGGCCGCAGCGCGGCACACCATACACGGACCTTCGCATGCCATCGTCCTCGCACACCCCAGAACACCTCTAGGGTGTAGCCGCGTTCCCGGCCCCACAACCATGCACCATGCACCAAAATCCCCAACGGTAGTGCAGCGATACCATGACGAGCCAGAAAAGAAAAGAAAAAGAAAACAATCCCCGCCAAAAGCGCACGCACTCACCCAATAGTGCCCCCAAACACATCCACAAGGCACTGCAACCCCATGCACACGCCCAGCACAGGCACCCTGCCCGTAAAGTACCTGATCGCCTCGCGCGACACGCCCGAGTCCGTCGTCGGGTGCCCAGGCCCGGGCGAGATGATGAGCGAGTTGAGCTTCAAAAGCGGGAACGCGGCGGGCTCGATCGCGTCGTTGCGCACGACCGTCACGTCCGCCCCGAGCAGGCACAGGGCCTGGTAGATGTTCCACGTGAACGAGTCAAAGTTGTCGATCAGCAGCACGTCCAGCGGTCGGGCCAGCTCGAGCGGGAGAGTGAGCGCCATCGTCTGTCTCTCTTTCGAAACTGTTCTTGAGTTTAGGTTTGGAGTCCGCTGTGAGCGTTCGAGGTACAGGGTCCGCAGGTTTCTCTCCACAGAGCAGATCGATGGGCAACAGAAAGCTAGGCCAGAGAGTTGAGTCGAGCCTCAGAGATCGTGCGGGGCAGACCGGGAGAAGAGCAAACAGCGAGTTATGTACGGGGCCTTCCCGTCGACGGTTTTGGAGGGAGTAGGTCCCTGTCCGTGCTAGATCGTTATATCCCACACACGGAAGCAGAATAGGAACCCGTTCGCCTGATTGCGCGCAGCGGAGTGGATAGAAGGAGATGCGATGTCCGAGTCGGAGGTGAGGCCAGGCAGCAACATCGAAAGGGTACGAGATGACATTGATGACCCTAACCCTAAGCGCCTTCCTTGCGCCGCTGCCTGCACACAGTATGCAACTCCAGACATCGAACAAGAATCGGACTGCGTATAGCGACCACAATGTATAACGAAAAGAGGAATGTAACGTACAGGTACTATAGTACATAAGCGCAGTGTACCACAATCAGAGCGCCCTCTGTTTACCGGACAGCAAAATAGAGACCCTCGACTGCCACATTCGCCTGCCAGATGCCCACCCGCCGCGCAAGCCTCATGACCGCAGGGAGCGGCACAACAAGGACGGCCGAGACAGGCACGACAACGACAAAGAACAGAAACATGAGCACCGTGATGCCCGGCTTGAGGACGAGAAAATAGAAGAGCGCCTGGTAGCTGGTCGGGTCCGTGAACATCACGTACGTGTTGCGGTAGAACGAGGTCTCCTGCACGAGCGTGCCCGCGCCCGCCTCGAGCTGCGCGGGGGTCGGGGGCCGCGTGCGCGTGAAGATCGGGAGCGGGGGTGGGGGCGTGGGTACGAGAGCGGGCCGTGGAAGGTGGTCTGGAGCGCGAGCTCACCGCGTGAGAGCACCCGTGCGCCAAAGAGGTCGACGAAACAGAATACGGCACCAAGAGGGAGCGCCATGAGCGTGCAGGTGCCGACCTGTCAGGGACGAGAGCGCGATTGTGAGCATGGGTATTGCGACAATGGCGCAGCGCGTGCATGGCGCTCGACAAGGGAGAGGGACGGAGGATGTGACGTACCAGGGTGAAGACGAACAAAAATATCCACGAGACAAGGGCGTAGGGGAAATTGAGGACGAGGATGTGCAGCAGGGCAGAATAATACGCTCTCCTCTTGAGTGGGGCAAAGTAGCGCCTCCAGCGCGGCCCGACGAACATTGGCTGGGGTCTCTGAGTCTGTCGGTGGGCATAGCCAGAGAGGTCAGCAACAAA